GCCAGGAGCTATTATTTATTATAATTTCATTAAATTGAAAAAGAATTTTTTTTTATTTAATTGAAAATTAATATAACCATCATTTATTTGAATAATTAATAAATGTTGTTAATTATTCTCATCATATGTTATTATTTTTATTAATTTTCCTTGTCAAACTTGTGTACGAAATGTAAAAGTTGTATTTATATGTTGAGTTAGATTCATTGTTATATTCATACGAACAAAACTATAACCATCAAATGTTACAGTATTTGATGAGTCTCGACATGTTGGTGAATTAATATTAATACAATCTAATGTATTTTCTAATAAAATTTCATTATCATTACATGGTTCATCCATACTTTGACAAGTATATAATGTTGAACTTTCTTCAATACATCTTTCAAATGATGAACAAGGATTTGATGAACATGGTGATTGATAATTTTATTTATATTGACAACGTTGTCCATAATCATGATTTAAACATACACATTTAATATTCCATTGATATTTAGGTATTAAACGTTGATATGTTTTATATTAACAATATTCATATTGATGATTAATTAACTTAATATGGCTTGTACAACGACCACTATTTTCACATGATTTTAAATTACCTTGATTAATAATTTTTTGTTTTTTTTCCCTTCCCAATTGATTTTATACTTAAAATTTTTACAAATAAATTTGTTACATTTATTAATGCATTATAAAGTGCTTTTTTTATGTATATAACGTAGTGGTCTTAAACGTGATGGATAACGTATTATAGCAATAAGTAATTCAATTTGTTGTTGATTTTTTAAAACAAATGTATATATATGTACATGACGTATATTAACACCAATTATATCGGATAAGTATTCACGTATTAATGGTAAACTATATATTATAAATTGTTCATATGTTGTTTGTGTATTTAACTTAATTATTATTGATAATGAACATTCTAACATTCCACGATCAATAGGCCATAAATGTATATCAATAAAATGTGATTTTAATAAATTATTATGATTTTTTTGATAAATATACTATTGTATTATTGTTAGAATAATTTATATCAGGTATAGATTGCTTCATAGCAATAACATTTAATTCAATTTGACATTGTAATAAACGATATTTTTGTCATTATTGGGTGTGGGTGTAGGTAATAGATAAAAAACAACAAAACCCTTCTTGACTATACTGTCTAAACTGACTTGTCATTGTGTTTGGATTCAAAAAATTTAAGCGATCGAGTTCGGGTCGGGTCCGGATCAGAGTCCAGCAAACTGTAAACGGGTCCGGGTAGAAAAATTTTAAATGATCGGGTCCGGGTCCGGATCCAAAAATCCTGGACCCGACGAGGTCTAACCAACACCGAGACCCACACCCGTATCAGTGTCCACTAAAACTAATATGTTCTTGGGCATTTCCAAATTTATTTCCATCAGAATGGAGTGATCTTAATTGCGTACACGAATTTCCTACGACACTAGATTTTGTTGGAATTCGTGACGAAAGAAGATTGTTCTCGCTGAAATATTTGACTATATCGAATCCTTTTGATAACCTTCATTCAAGTACATTTACAAGTTCAAGTTTTCGTTAAAAAAGTGCTTAGGACTTTTTCATTTAGTTTTTCACTATTTTTGTACTACTGCTTGTCGAAACATATTGCAAAATTGATACTAGCTTGCTAGTCGCTTAAATGGATTCGCGAGTCTGTTTACAATAAAAATCATAGCGATGCTTGGGTGTGAGTGTGGATGCACGTTTTGATTTGTATTGATGTAAAGAAAATCGACTAAATATACCTCTTTCGAAAGTATAATGAAAAATATTTAATGACACATGAGAAATGGATCAACAAAGTTTGTTTTATTTTTCTTATTGAAATATTATCTTTCATATATTATTTAACGCCTTTAACCTCCACAAAATAATCACAAATATCACATATTCAAGTACTTTTAGGAAAATTACATAAAGTTAATCATAAATACGTATCAAAATGATTATGTGAATGCATTGATCGTCTCATACCATGTAAAATTTATTGATGATGATAATCAAGCTGAAATTTCTTTTGACGCCAATAAAGTTGATCAATATGCACTTCTATCAATAATACAACGACTTGGTCATTCTGTAAAATCAATAAATTCAAAATCAGTTCGAGCTCAATTACGTATCGAAGGAATGCATTGTAATTCATGTGTATCAAATATTTGTGGTGCAGTACTTGATCTACCTGGTGCTATTAATATTTAATTGGCATTTCTCGATTAACTTGCTATCTTGAGAGTGTGTGTTCTTTCTCTCTAAAACGACACATATATTCACATTCATACCCAATACAAACAAGTGATAAGACTTAAGAGTCAGAATTAGCTTTAAAGTCATCTAATCACTATCATGATAGAATAATTATTCAGTTCTCTAATAAAGTTGCTTCACTACATTTGAATTCCAACAACACCTTCAATTTATGAGATTAAATTTCATCATGTGGAAAAAGTACAGGCTTAGTGGTCTATTTGGATATCTAGTTCAGTTGTTGATCGATTTTGGACTATGTCATTTGTTGAAAAGGAAGAATTGAAACTGGTAGATTGATTTCCATGTGAAACATTTCATTTAACTTAGTCACACCATTTTCAGTACACTAGATACACAAAAATTTTTTTTTATTGGTTGATCAGTTATTCTTCTGTAGGTTGAAATGACGTTTGTTAGACGTAAAAAGACACGATTTCCTTTCGTAGGAAAGAAAAATACGAACATGTATGATGATGATTCGAATAACAGTATACTTGTAAAATAAAAATAATTAGTTGTAGTTGAAAAAGAAAAATATACAATGGAGAGAGAAACATTCAAAAACAAATAGATTATGAAAACAATGTGATGTTAACAAGAAAAAATAGTTTGATCATGGTTATATGAAGTAAAATTTAGAGAAGAAAGAAAAATGTTTACATAAAGAAAATAACAAATTTTCTTCTCTATGTGTTTTTCTGAAAAAAAAAAGAAAATTGATATACATAATAACGATCGATCAAATCATGGGTAAAATTTTAATAGGGTGTGGGTGTGGGTGGGTGTGGATATGGGGTGTGGATATGGGGTGTGGGTGTGGGTGTGGGTGTGGGGTGTGGGTGTAGGTATGGGGTGTGGGTGTGCGTAGGGGTGTAGGTGTGGGCGTGGGTGAGTGTGGGTGTGGAGATAGGTCTTATATGGACCTACACCCACACCCACACCCACACCCCACACCCCACACCCACACCCACACCCACACCCACACCCACACCCACACCCCACACCCACACCCAAGTCGTGGTAATCGAGCAGATCAACATTTACGACGAAGATTAAATCGACGAAAGTTGGATGATGATACCAAGGCGTTGTTACTACAAGCAAGACTTGAAAGAAAACAACAACAACAGATTGTTCATGAGAAAACAATGGAAATAAACCAAATTGATGATCAAACCACCAGCATGCCAGATGACGAACCAATAATGGTAAGAAGAATGATTAGAAGACAAAAAAAAATATGATAGTATTGATGATCTTCTCGTTCTATTATGTTTAGAAACTTCCATTCAATAATATCATTCCTAAGGCCAATTCCAAGAAGCATAAACACAATACATCGACAAAAATTGAGAGACATTTAAGTCAATCACGGAGTCGATTGTCGATTTCACAAGGATGTTCAAAAAAGAGAAAGAAAAATGTCCAATCCAACAGTGTTTCATCAAAAATGATACGTGAACTGAATGATCAACCGAAGATATCAACAAAAAATTTTAAGTCCACATTCATATCTCAATATTTGAAAGTATCGAAACGAAAATTTAAAAAAATATTATCAAAATCAGTTCATGATGGCCATAAAACTTACAAATGGTTAGACAATGCTCCAAAAATTAAAATCTACACGTCAATTAGCTCAAATATATTTGAAGTTCGGATTGAATTGCAGCATTTTAAAAATTTAATAGCCGAACTTACCTGATGAAGACCCTTAAGCAAGGTCGAAACCGATCGTAAGTAGCTTGTGCTATTAAATAAATTTTATACACACCCATACCCACACCCCTATTATATGTAATTATAAACTATCTGACAAGAAGGACACTGGTCTTCTTAATAAACATTATAGACTTTTCTTATTTCATGCCTTTTTTGTTAATTTCAAACCTATTAAAATAGAATCACTTCTTCTTGTCTCGATATTTGTAGATATTTATATCATTTTAAAGATTTTTCTGTGCTTGTATCAGGGGATGAGTCTAGCACAAGGAAATGTAAGTAGAACCATATTCAATTAGAAGAATACATAAGTGTCATTTGTATTTTAGATTGAAGATATTTTTCAAGAATTTCATGATGATTTTGATGCAGATGACGAAACAAATATTCAATTTGATAAGAGACGTAGGCGATTTGTGAAAGAATATGACGATGATATATTTGACATTGAGCAATGTCTAGAGGTAGATCAGATTTTACTTGGTTTAACAGTTGGTGAACAAGAAAAACAACAATATTTATCTGGAAAGTTAAGCCACCTATCGGCTACACATCAAAAATCCGAAAGTACTACTCGAGCAACCAATGTACTATCGCGAATAAAAACAGATAACGTCGTCATCTCCAGTCAATTGATACCAAAATATTTATCACATGAAAGTAAAGAATTCGATCGGATGATCCTCGGTCTCCGTCAACAAACTGGCACTATTATTTATACGGAAGAATTACGAGCTATTGCATTTCTCATTAATCAACTTCAACGTATTAAATTAGAAAAACATCTTTATACGACATATTGACGTTCTGGTCAGGGTACATTAGTACAAAATAAAGAACCGTCGCTACTATTGTGGCCTATCGAGCTGAAATTAAAAATGATTGCAGAAAATCAAAGGAAAGCCACGCATCCGAACGAAATCTATCAGGATGAATGTGTAAAATACGTAGAGAAAATTCTAGAGAAATATAGAATTAAAATGTCCGACTACCAAAATCAATTGGAAGAGAAAAAGCGACATTTACGCAATCGCTGGACAAGTAGAATTGAAGAAACTATTACGAAATTTGTTCAAGACTATAAGATTATTCTATATCAAATACCTATTGAAAAAGAAATCATCCGTATTGAATATGATTTCTTTGATCGATTATCCGAACTTGAATTTTACAGTGAAAATTCAAATGTGTATCAAGTAAATTTTGGAACAGTATAAAACATTATATTTCTTAGTTATCTTCTTCTATTTAGAAACAACTATTTCAATATCTTACACAAAAGAAATTTGATATGGAGAAATCAAAACTAGAACTTGCTCTATTAAAACAGCGTATCACTCATAATCATCTACCAACATCATTTGATAAACTCGACATATCGATACCTACTCCAATACATAAAATAATGGATACGGAGACAGCTCAATCTCTAAAAGGTCGATATGATAAAATTTTACAACGAACAAAAGTTGATATGATGCAGGTTTATGTTGAAGCTGCTGAATTTCGAGCAAATCAATATCGATTACAGTTTAATAATGCAATGAATAAACTAAAAGAAAATGAATCTACACATCTATCCGATAGAATATTAACTAAAGTTATGTTCGATATTATGATAAAACGTTTCAACAATATTAGTGAACATCTTGTATCTGTCTACAAATTAAAAGTTCGTGCTTTCACCAAACTTCGGACAGACAAGAAATCCAATTGAACTACCATCGAACCAAATATACATCTCTAAAATTAATGTCTCGGCATAAGACTCTTTCAATCTATGAAAAAGAACTTATTTGACACATTCGATATCGTTTTTTTTGCATAATGCAACTGAATTTTCACATTTCTTTCTAAATATTATATAAATTGTGTCCGTTTGTAGGTTATTAGAAAGCAATTCTATTAGAGAGAGATATAAGTCGATCTTTAATGTAATTTTTTTTAAGAAAATTGTTCTTTTATTATTCAATTTAAGAGAATTTTACATTACTAATGTCAGATTTCAATACTTATTTAGATTGAATTTTTCATTTTTCAAAAACCCGAAATGACTGATTCAGGAGAAGATGTATGTATTATTTTAAAGATTTTGAATGATTTTCTAAGAGAACATATTTTAATATAGGTTGAACAAAATATTGATCCATTCGATGATAACTTTCATGAATATGATGACAATATAGACGAAGCTGAAGATAAAAAAATGCACTTTCACAATCCTCAGCGGACAATTATTGCAGAGGATTTAGTATTTGGTTTAAAAATTTCTTCTATTTTCCAATCACCCATACGAATACGTGCCACTTGATAAAA